TGCTAAGAAAATGCAAGAAAAAAACAGAAAATTTCGTCTTTGTAAACATTTTACTGTTGTTTTGTGGTTGGGAGTTCAATAATTATGCTTATAAGAGCGTTTGAGGTCACCCACTTAATAACATTATACTTTTTTATTGAAATCACTTGGGTTTCTGTGGAAACTCAAGGACATAAAGGCAAAAGTTTGAGTCTTTGTTCTATAATTATCTTGAATTGAAAATTTGGTGCCTTTCTTCTTTCTTGCATTTGCTTGGAATTACAATGAAAATTTCCTTTCATTGTTTTTTGGTTGTTGAAGGGTTTGAGCATGAGGAAAAAGGTGATTTTGCAACCTCACCAAAGCATTTCAGGTAAGAACCATATCCTTGAATTGCCCTTTTGGACCAAAAGTAAGCCTTTTGTGTGACGGTTTATCATATGATTGGGTTCTATGTTTGACTTATGGATTGGTTCATGGTGGATTTGAATTGGCACGCAGAGTTGCTTGGGTGAAGCTGATGACTTTGTGCATTGCAGGACTACAACAAAATGGTGCAACTACATCTATTCGTGGACTTTGAAATAGAAACAAGGTTTTCATCTTTTAATCACCTCCACTGTATTTCAGTTTCTTTCCCTTTTATTAATTTTGATTGTATTTCTCCCCTGTGATGGGATTGAACATGCTTTTGGACTGGTAATGGCCGGTGACTGTTTGTGCGTGAATAAAGGCTTGCCATTGCCCTTGGTGCTGATGTGGGACAGAGCCAGTGTATATGTACAGAAGTTGCGGTATACAATGTTCTCTCTCCCTCTCTTTAATTTCAGTTTTTTTTTTCTTTTAATAGAATTTCGTCAAATATTTTGGTTCTGGATTTTTTGTGTTGAAGAAATTTACAATAAAGGTATTTTATGACGTTCTGTGTTTGTAAATATCTTTTTTAGAACAACACAGAATGTTGACCGACTTTGAAGGTGTTACAAGAAAAAACGAAGTAGGGTTCTGCGTTTGGACTAGCAAAGAGGTTTGTCAATCGTCCTCTCATCCTCAATTTTTTTTTTCAATTAGTCGATTACATCTCAGTCTTAAATTCACTGTTTTTTTTATTATTTCTGTTTAATTTAATGAGACAATTTCTGTTACAGAATTCTAAATTATGCACTTCTTTTTCCATGTTAGGGTACTGGGATGCTAGGGGTTTCTTTTTATTCTCTTTTCCACTGCATATTATAACTTAGATGGGTATGCTTCAAGAAGGTTAGTTTTATTCTTGAAGAATACCCATTTGGTTTTAGACGTAGTTTATTTAGTTAAATATATGGCTACTGGTGAAATGGATTAGCCAAATATTGCATATGTAATATGCAAACAAATTCTTAGTATTGTTGCAAACAGTCAGTTTAAGTGAAGGATTGTTGTATGAAATTTGGGAAACAAATATCTAGAAATTATCTTCACAGTTTCTTAGGTTCCATTTAATTTGGTATTTGTTTTTGTGTGATATATTTCTCTTAGGGCGTGTCAAATGGTAAAACTGCAATTAACGACGCCTTTTTTGTGTTGCAGTTCCACCAGTACCAGGTTGTTGGGAGGAAGCTCCCTACGGCATCTATTGAGCACCCTAAGATTTACCGAATGAAGCTCTGGGCCACCAATGAGGTTCGCGCCAAGTCCAAATTCTGGTATAATCCTTAACCCTAGCTCAGCTTTTGTGATCCCAAATGTTCATTGGTGAATTTGGTTAAACTTAATATAGTTGATTGATTTGTTTGGATTAGGTATTTCCTTAGGAAGCTGAAGAAGGTCAAGAAGAGCAATGGCCAAGTGCTTGCCATTAATGAGGTTTGTTCTCTCTGCCGTTTATACTCTATTTTTTCTTATTAATAAATTTATACCCATTTTGATTATTTGTCAGTGTCTAATGTAGTCAATGTTGTTTTGTGGTGGGGAAGTGGTTCCTCCTCAACTCTCCTCCTGGCTTAATCCAATTTGTTGTCAAAGGTCTCTGCCTTTGACCCACTCTTTTATCACATTTATTGCGCTTTTTTCTAATTTTGTTTCGATCATTTGAATCGTATTTTGTATTTGATGTTTGGCTTTGGTGGCAAATGTGAAGGAGGCTGTGTCAGAGGCATCCCCTTGAAATCACCAGTTGATTTGGAGACGTATGTTTTCTTTTCTTTTTTTCCTTCATAATTGAAGCCTCCACTTTGCTGAATAAAGGCTCCTCTTGGCTTTAGTGTTTCGTTTCAATGAATTTTGGGCTCTTACATGTCTGCGAAATTGCTAACCTTTTTTTTCTATATGTTCAAAGTTTGAACACTACGTCCATTATTTGAATTCTAATACTGAATTTTAATTCTTCTCTCTTTTTAAGAACACTACCTGTATTATTTGGAATTGATTAAGATTATTTTTTGCGCCTGTATTTTGGCTAATTTTTTCTTTGGGAGTATTATGAAAACCTATCAGCATATCCACACCTTCTTCTACACCCTATTTCTCTGCACATTCCTCTCGAAAACTTAAATGCTTTATGCTCCACTGTAGCCTTTTGTAGTTTTCTCTGCTTTCACTTGGTTCCATTTTAAGTTTTTATTTTTATTTTTTTATTTTTATTTTTTTAAATCTTTATTGTAAATTTGTTATTTTAAATCCTTAATTTTAGGATTAGTTATGGTTTATTTTTATACCTTATAATGAATTGAGATGTGGACAATGAATGTGTTTCTTCCTTCATAGTTGTGCTTAAAATGATATTTCTCTTGATATCTTTTCTTTGGTATATAGGTGACATGAAGCAGAAACAGGGAAGGAAATCTCATATGAAATGGGTATTTTATGTTGGAGGTTAGGTTTATTTTATGATTTTTTAATGTTAGATTTCATACTGAATCAATTTGAAAGGTTCCCCTGAGGACTATATGAATTTCTTTTTAAGTTTTTATGGTTATAAGTTTAACACATTAAATTTATTTTTTCTTATCAGTTCTTTCTACTTTATTTTGCTAATTCAGTGATAGTAGTTGTCAAAAATGGCATCAAAGCTTGGCAAATCTATGCTTGATGGGGTTGGTATTACGATTTGATCAGTGATGGGACGTTTGGTTAAATCCCAAGCAGGGAATGCATTCTTTGCCATAGTTCCCGGACAGGTCCTCTTGGCTTCCCTTGATGCTATCAGTAAGTTGATTAGGGTTCTATAACCTATAGGTGTTTATAGGTTATTTCTG